GGCGGTTGAAAATTAACAATGTAGTTTGCATTAAGTGGTATTTCACTCGCCCGAGGCAGATACCCGAACCGGTACCTACTTCTCAAATGCTGTAATGGTAGATATTAAGATATTGAGAAACGGGGAATATGTTTGATATTCATGAATATAATTACTTTCTGGGGATGTGAATTGTTGCCACTACTGTAATGGTAGACCTTCAGATATATCGGGGAACGGGGAATATGTTTGAAATTCTTGAGTCTTAGTATTTTCTAGGGATGTGAATTAATGTCACTCCGCCAATATTAATAGAGATTGAAGCATCACCCAGTGCGTTTGCATGACAGAGAGAAGGATTAACAAATAGTGACAATTCCCATGATATTTTCTTGACATAAGTAAATAAAAAAATCCAAGCAACATAATAGTGAAAAAATTAATAAATTATTCATCCGAATATCAAGTTTACAACTATTATAATAGCTTACACAATAAGGAAGATAATTATCGTGTCGCGTTTCAAAAAGCTAAACAATCCTGTAGCCAGCCAGACTTGATTGTTCGCGGGACGGCCAAGTAATATATCCAAATGGGCATAGTGTTTAGTTGCAGTATTGGAATTGGTCGGTTATCAGAATTTTTTTAAGGGGCAATTAATTTTTTTCCGAGGGGGGGGGGGGGGGGGATTTATTAATGGACGTATACTACCTTCCCCCATTTCCCTTAGTCATGTATCACGGAAGTTCGTAAGCGATATGAACGTACGGCCAATCATTACACGCGCAGCCAAATTGTTTGCAGTCTATCTGTCGAGGGCTCCGATTCGTTGTATTCGCTAGCGCAAAATCCTATCAAATCGCTATTACAGTCAAGGTATTAGAAGCAGTTGGTAATAGCTTGTGATTATGTTTTTATCCAATTCTGTGCCAACAGAGGGATCGTACCACGAACTCACCAGCGAAGGGTTTACTTCGGGTAAACTCTGCATTATACATAAGAAGAACATTAAATATCATGAAACAGAATTGAATAATATAAACTCTAAAATGATACTAGATATTATGAAACAGAATTGAATATATAAACTCTACAAGATAGTGGACCATAGCCATATACGCCCACCACGGCATGCGGATGGTAAATATTCAAGATTTTGGGACAGGGGCAACTCTGTTCTAACGGTCGAAAATATTTCATCAAAAAATCTAGTTTTAGAGCGTTTACAAGCGAATGTTGACGGACAGACGGACCGACGGACGGACCGCCGGACGGACCGACGGACCGACGGACGGACGGACAAGGGTGCTGACAATATACGTCCACACACAGGCGTATAAAAATGATAATATTAGATATCATGAAACAGCATTGAAAACATCATTATAATAATGAAATCTGATTCTAATGACATTATATACATGTACATGTATTGTACAGAACAGGGCAGGAGAAGATTCTGTTTTTGACATTTCTGACGTTTCAATAAAAAAATCACTACACACTAGATTTATCAACCTTAGAGATTTTTCTTTAAAATCCACAGGTTCTTTTCTTGTTATTCTTTGTGAAACTTGCAGAAACTGACCGCGAAGACCGTGGATGCTGATTGTAGTAGCCCAAACATAAAAAACCAAAAGAAACATGTAATTGTCTTTTTAGATATGTTATATTAGTCAATCTATATTCTTATTTAAAAATTTTCTTCACTTTAAAAACTGATGTCGTCTTCATAATTTCACCATTGGTTGGTAAAGCCCAACAAGTAATGTTTTCTTCTGTTAGAGGATGGATTCTCTCGACTAGTTTGGCCTTTGATTCTAATGCGTATCCATTTAGTGATGTGGTTAGAATCCTGGTATTTGGACGGCGGTTATCGGGTTTTCGACTGTTGAGGTGATGTATAAACATTCCTAAAAAATTGCAAACATAATTCATTAACACTTTGACTAATACCAAAGTAAATAATTTAACATTTCTTGAAGATTATGGCTATAAAGATATATCACGTGATATCAATATCGGCAACAAAAGTGATTTTTGTATTTATTTTGGCAACATTTGGCCATATTGCATCTTGTCCACATTTTACCGACAATGTTGTCATGTGTACTGTACTAAATTAAGAAAGAATGTCGATTTCTAAGAATTGCAAAACTATATTGTGCGGTAAACTATAAAGAGATGAAATTTAGAAAGAATAAATTAACCATAATTTATGAAAATTTACTAAAGATTCTGATCTTACCCAGCAAACCTGTGGTAGCTGGCGACAGTTTCTCTTCTCGGGAAATACCAATATTAAAGTAGTGTCCGTTATGTCTTGGATTATTAGAGATGTGTACCATCATACCATTCTTAAACTCTATATTAACCCTCCTTCCACCAATAATTTCCACGCTAGCTTCTTGATACACCTTTATCTTAGAGATATTCCAGTGAAAAGTCTTGTCTCCAATGTATACAAAATGGCGCTTGAACACCATTTTTAACTTACCGGTAGCGACACCAACTTCAGTTATGAACATAGCTGACGTTTGAGGATCTTTGTGAATTTGGATGTTGATTCTTAAATCTGCAATTTAAGTTAAACCAATACATATATTATATGCTAATTTGAAAGACACATGGTCTTGTATTCTTCAAAATTTGCTGATTTGCGAGAGTACGTTTGCTTTCCTTGCTTCATTGATGGTAAGCTATATTGTATTTACTTTAATTTGAAGGTTTGATTGTCAAAGGTCTGCACGACCCGGGGTATTGCTACCTTTGGATGAATATAAATATATCCCAGTTATTCAACAGTCTTTACAGCTTACAAGAATACGACTACCAACACGAGGTTTTAAAAACGATTGCTACGCCAAGACGTATTAGATATCACATACTTATCTCTGGGTCACGGAGTAGCTGTATTATGTCATTATTACTACCAAGTATATTAAAACAGACCGGATATTCCACATGAGGTGACTGAATTACAAAATGAGGATCTCGACCACCTGTAATGGAAAGCATCAGCACTTTATATGGACACCTGCTATATATATCGAAAGGATCACTTTGCTGTCTTAAAAACCAAACCTTTTGGTATACCAGTAGTGAAAGAATGAGGGAGACAGTAACCACAACATGTGAGATGCAAGACAGTAACAGTGGCGGAGCCAGGTTTACGTCCCAGGGGGGGACTCTTCGAGAGAAACACTATTGTTATTGGCAGAGTATTTTCTTTCCAGAACACATGATACTACCCCCCTTAGGAGATCCACAAGTATTCAGTTTAATTTATGGGATGGGCTATCAATTTTAAAAAATACAGTTATAGTATAGGATATTCGGGCAAAGATATGATTTCATTTTTAAATTCCAAAAAAGAATAATAAAATCGGGCCGTTCAAAAAAATTTTTTTTTAATGCCTTGCCCGAAAAACTAGCCTTCGGGGCTGCGAAAGACGCTATAGGCAGACTGCCGACCCCACCCCCTCACTAAAATGGCCATAACTCGGCCAATTTTGACCCGAGAGGTACAATTTTTGTTTGTAATGATAGCTTATCATTTCCTCCATCTATTTCAGTAGAAACCGGGATTTCTAACTTTTTTCAAACTTTGGCCAAAATCGACTTTGAAGTTGTACCCTTGATTTCAAGAGGAAAATCGCTTATATTTTGGTTTGGGAAAAAAGTCGGAGACAGAAAGTGCTGTAACAGGCAGAGTTTTCATGATAGGAGGCTGAAATTTGGAACACAACAACTTCAGTGCAAATTTCAACTTTCCAGCTCTGATAGTCTTCGAACGGCAGCCTGTCAAAGTTTTGGTCTTCACTCAAACCAGTGCAATGGGACTCTATAGGCAGACTGCCGACCCCCACCCCCTCACTAAAATGGCCATAACTCGGCCAATTTTTACCCCAGAGGTAAAATCTTTGTTGCAAACGAAAGTTGAACATGTCTTCTATCTATTTCAGTCGAAAACAGAAATTCGTATTTTTTTAAATCTTTCGGGAAAATCGACTTTGAAGTTCTACCCGAATTTTCAAGAATATGCCCCCCCGCCCCCTCCCTGTGGCTCCGCCACTGGACAGTAACCACATCAAGGGAGAGGCAATACTTTTACCATAACACGGGAGAAGCAAGACAGTAACCACAATACAGGAACTAGACAGAAACCAATACTCGGGAAAGGCAAGCCAGTAACCACAGCACTATAGAGAGACAGTAACCACAACAAGAAGAGGCAAGACAGTAACCATAACACAGGAGAGGAAAGAACTTACCCTCACTAATGAAACGACTTGGTGGCTTCAGTGATTTTCGTTCTGAAAAAATATAAATCATTTTTTATCTTACTAATCGACCTAAGCAAACTTACGTTAATAAACTAGTGTCCAAAAGAAACGATACCACCTGTTTGCAACGACATAAAAGAAAAACTAAACAATGCAGAAGTTTAGGATTGGTGTTATGCTTTTGAGAAATCCTTTCACAACATCTGTACAAAAATTTCATTTCAATAAAATCTGTACAACCAATATGACAAGCCTTTAAAGATGGGTGGGGTCAAAAAAAGAAAATTTCGTTAGAGCACTGATCACAGAAACAACGGGAAATGTCACACCACACGTCACAAAGTCAAGTCAATAGCGGGTATGTCCACCGTGAGCATCAATACATGCCAGAACACGCCTACGGACTGATGCCGTCAAACGTCTGATGACGTTGGGAGTGATTCGTTGCCATTCCTCGAGAAGACATCGTTCCAAGTCTTGGACGTTGACTGGAGGCACACGGCAAAGTCGGATTTGCCGACCGAGGTGGTCCCATAAGTGCTCGATGGGATTCATGTCCGGTGAACATGCGGGCCATGGCAAAACCTGTACGTTGGCGTTGGCAAGGAAGTTCTGTGTCAATCTTGCTGTGTGTGGCCTTGCATTGTCATGTTGGAAAATGGAGTCCACGAGGTCTGTTGCTGAATAAAGGGCACCACAACAGGCCGTAGGATGTCATCAATATAACGCTGTCCACGAATTACGACAAGCCTCGTTTTGACGTCACCACATATGCCACCCCAAACCATTAAACCTCCACCTCCAAACGACCGGACCTGTTGGATAAAGTTAGGCGCCAAACGTTCACCAAATCGTCGGTATACAAGCTGCCGTCCATCGTTTTTGAAGATGAGGAATCTGCTCTCATCAGAGAACATAACACGTGCCCAGTCCCGCCGTTGCCAACGTCGAACTCGCCTGGTCCAGATCAGTCTGTTGTTCCGGTGTCGAGGCGTCAGGAGCGATCCGCGGTAGGGATGACGTGGCCGGATACCATACTGCCGTAGTCTCCTGTAGACGGTCTGTCGACTGATCCTGTGTCCCAGTGCTGTAGCCGCCGTGGACGTCGCTGTTACGGTGCGGTTCCTCAGGTGTAATACCCGGATGTACCGAACTTAATGGAGCGTGGTTACTCGTGGTCTTCCACTCCTGGGCCTGTCTGACGTCTGACCTGTCTGACGTAACCGCTGCATCAACCTGGTGATAGTGATGCGTGCGCAGCCTAACCTTCTGGCGACGTCGACGTGTGTCGCTCCTTGTTGGACCATTCCAACGGCTCTCTCTCTCTCGATGGCTGTCAAAAGTGGCATATCTTGTGTTCTTTTTGTTGCTGTGATATCAACGTGTCTGATCAGCCGTTTTATACAGTTTTTATGCACGTGCAGAACATGCTAGACAGGGAAATGTCACTTTCACGAAATTTACGTTTTTTCCCGGAAGTGATGACGTGTTCCCGGTATTTTTATCGACTATGCTGTGTTTGGGATGTGCAATACGAATTGGCATGTTTTCATATTAGACAATTCACTTAGTAAAAAACAATTTTGAAAATAAGTTGGTATCGTATCTTTTGGACACTAGTTTACTTCAAAATGACAATATCACTTAAATGGACTAAAATATTTCCAGGCTACGAACTCTCTAAAATCAAGTTTTATTATTTCCGCTATTTTGTTAACGAATAAAACAATGAAGAAAATACATCCCAAAATAACTGCAATATTAAATATAAAAATTTTATATGAAAGATAGCTTGCCTGGAAAGGTAACACGCGCCTACTGGCAGCTTTGTTTAAATTCGTTTAAATTTGTTTAAACTTTTGGCAGATCAGCAAGCATTACCAGTATGAAATATTCAACCTTTAGTCATACACTTCTTTCAGACGATATAATTAAAGGGACAGATGCCATTGTAAGGGATTTGGGTCCTGAATATATGTAATTGGTCTTCAGAAGTACTAGAAATGTACGAAAAACGCCGAATTCCTTCAAAAATACCTCAAACTAGGAATTTCACTTTCTATTTCTATAGATACATTTCTATATATGGCAGCGACTCAAGAAAAGACGGCTCGTCTATTAAACTTTCATACCGGACTTAAGAACTATAGGATCTGCATTGTGTAGCTCTAGGGGATTAACAGAATTCAAACTGTTGATATTTTCACCATAGTAACCGTCGGTAGAGGCATCAGCTAACATAACTGTTATTGGTGTCACTACATTATACTGAAGAAAAACAAAGACATGTTTAAAGGGGATTAGTCACTGAAAATATTTTAGCAATTTTCAGACTAAATATTTTAAAACAATGTCTATATAGTATATAATGCAGTATGAACGCCTGAAATGGATTATCTTCAGACATGCAAAGATGATTTGCTACCCATGCCCGTAGCCAGACTTAATTGTTCGGAGGAGTAAGTAATATATCCGTATGGTGTTTAGTTGCAGTAACGGGACTTTTTTAGCCCTTTTTATGCACCCCTGTAGCAACGGACCTGTTCTTACCTTCGAAGCCATTCTTTGAAGTCTTGTGTTAATTCGTTTTCTCTCAGTAGAATCTAACGCTAGTTGATGTTGTCTTATCAAATTTTCAATCATTAAATATGACCAGATCCTATCGATCATACCATCATAGTTACCATTGTATTGAGGCGATGATTTAGTTAAAGAAATATTACCAGATCTTCTCAGTCCATCAACTCTGCTCTCTAAATATTTATAGTTTGAAATCCTCTGAGCTGTTTGAAGTCGACCAGTAACGACCAACTCAGAACCACGGTAGTAATTTCTTAGATTTTGTCTGATCAAATTATAATTGACTTGGTGTAAACCATTCAGATAATACCTAAACTGTATTGCGGACATGACGCTTGGGGATATTTCATTATAGAAATCGATTATTTTTGCTGATGCAGATGACCCATCCAAAATTCGTCTGCTAATACCAAAATTTTCCGCGGCCAGACTTCGAGTTAAATGCCAATCAGCATCTTTTCCAAACGCAATGGTAAATATTGGTACATCATATTTATTAGTTGCTCTTGTCAGTTCCAGAATTCTGCGAGTATCGGATATACCGGAAGTTGAGTGACCGTCTGTCAGGAAGAATATAAAGGATTTGTTACTATTTTTAGAATATTCGTTGATGTATTCAATTCCACCCAATATAGCCTTGGAAATATCAGTATCTGAAACATAAATATCAAGATATTCAATTAAAATAACTATGATAACAGCTCAAAAGGTGAAAGTTTGCAGTAAAACCAAAACTAGTATGACTAAATTTATTGGCAAGACAAAATTTGGCAAAATAGTCGTCTTATCTAAGCACTGTCTATGCATAAATTGTAGCCTATTGGAATAGATGATGTATTTGTTTGGATATATGTCTAGCTTCTTGCGTAAATCAATCCAATTGTCCTCAGGTTATCTGAGATTATTATCTTTTAAGCCACATGATGGGAACATTAAGAATCATAAACAGTGGCGGCGCCATTGCGCTTTGCACCCCCAATTGTACCCACAATTAAAAAAATTTAATGATTTTTATACGTTTTTGCCCAAAAAAATTCTTGGGAGAACCCTCTTAGAGGCTCCATGAGAGGATAGCAATGAGACCCCTCCACAAAGTTGCCTCATTGTGAATTCAATCCCACTGAGTGCCCCCTATTTGTACTCCCAGTCTCTGGAGGCTGGCGCCGCCACTGATCTTAAGTCAATCAAGAAACAGATTCTGCATTACCGCCAGCTGGTTTCAAGGCATTGATGTATTTGATAGCATTGCCTATCTTTGACCCCGACACAAACGCAGTCCTTTTGTAAAGGGAAATGTGCTCGGAAAAGAGCATGATATTGAATCTATCAAAGCTTTTAATTGTCTTCAGTATGGTGGACATAGCTTTCTTCAATTGGTTTAACTTATTATTGTTGGCCATAGAACCACTGATATCCAGCAGAAATAACACGTCTTTGGGAACTGGTTTAGAAATCTTTGGTGAGAAGTAATGAATGTAATAATCTCTCGACATCTAAAAAGAATAATAATCAAAAGAATCAATAATTTCAGTAACCCATCTAGCAAATATAGCCTATCATAGAACGTTGCCTCAAGCTGGAACTCGTGGGGTAAGTCTTGCAATGTTTTTAAATACGACACTCATTGTTGGTCTACAAATGTTTATTAAAATCAGGACTTTGCCTTACTCTATAGAGCATAAAACATCAAATTTTCCCAAAAGACATCATGGAAGGACATTCCCATTATTAGACAATCTACATGTATACTCTAAAGATAGCTTGCCAGGCAAGGTAGCCTACTACCAGCTGTCAGAAATGATAACAAAGTCTGTAGTGGTCTTATAATATCTATCCGATTGTTACTAATTTCAAGATTTACTGAGATCAATATAAACATGCATACTAAGTTTCATCAAGATGGGATCACAATTCTAGCCTTTATCGAGCATACAAGGCAAATTTAACGCATTTTTACTAAGTCACGGGCAATATGTTTGAAAGCGTTCACCGATTATTACCAATTTCGAACTTGACTGAGGTCTTATCAATATCTACAAGCATACTAAGTTTCATGAAGATCGGATAAAATTTTTAGCCTTTATCATGCATACAAGCCAAATTTGAAGCGTTTTTACTCAGACAAGGGCAATAACTCTGAAACCTTTCATCCGATTATTACCATTTTAGAACTTGACCAAAATGGCAATACACGTCCACATTTCCCTAATCTCCCTTTTCTCAATTTCAGACCACACTATCTGACTCATTACAGATTAAGTCTCTCTCCAAAGCTATATTGTTTTTCACAATATCCAAAGAGAAGTGTAGGCTGGGAGCGTGAGATAAGGTACATGTTAAAATAAAGCCCAATGCCATGGAAACAATAGACATCAGTTTGGAAAATTTCATTGCCATTTCAAAGATATATCTGTGACATCAAACCTACCAAAATATCTCCAGCATCCAAAAACGAACCAAGGAAATACTGTAGTGTCATCACACCTTTAACGTCTTGAGATGTTTTCTTGGTAAACTTTTGGCTGAATTCTAGTATTGTAGATTTTTCTGCATTCACAACAATATCGTGTCTTCCATCTACAGGACGGTATTACAACATATAAAATAAAACCTTGGCAATTTTCAATCAAAGTTCTGGACATCAATTCCTCAATGACAAATATTGACAATAACAGTTATTGACTTTAATGGAAGTCGACAAGAAACATTTGTCTGTCTGATTTATGCATAAATATCCGAACAGTAGGCTTATTAGCTCAAATGTTCCATAAACAACCAATGATAGTCATTTTGTACTAATTTGGAACACTTTCATTAAGACCAAACCTTGTCTCAGAAACAATAGTTAACTCTGTGGATGAGCACTGGATGCCCGAGATGTCGTAGAAATAGGAGCCATACCAGATAAATGAATTGGCAACCAGCTCTAAATGAGTCAAAATGTTACCTTGAAAACAATGATCATTAGATAACAGATATGCTTTGATAACTCGACGTGGTTCCTTTATAACAGTTCGAACATATATATTACGGACTGGATGATTGGGTGTTATATAGATAGGACTGGTAAATTGTCCATCTCGTCTTTGTAATAATTCCATGTACGTTACATTGAAAGTGACGCGCGTTAGACCCTGTACATGTTCTCTTACTATAAACCTGTTGCTGTTAGTTGGGCTAAAAAAATAAGATAAAGGTATACGGTATATACACAAGTCACACTATTTCATTTCATATACTCATTCCAAGGACTATGCTAAATACTATACTTAGCAGTGACTCATTCATATTTCTTGTAAAAAAGGATGCGCTACACGCTCGAAACATTTCAAGTCATATTCTCATTAATGTTACTTAAAGATATACTACTTCTTAAGATGACCATAAAATTGAAATTTTTAAACTTGGCCAAAAGAGTCTTTATAAATCAATGAACTGGCATGGTGTTAAAACTATAAGACATAATCCCTCCATAATCCAATAAATCTATAAAACTTAGAAAAATTATCCAATAAACAAAGTAATTTTGAAACATTCTTAGCGGAAGGAATCAAAACTAAAACTTTGTCATCAAGTGAATATTCATCAGTTGCACCAGGTGCCATGACTAAAGAATAGAATCTCAGGACGATATATCAATTAAACTAAATAATTATTGAAACAGAGTTCCAAGCATGTTTCAAAATTACTTAGTTATTAATAAATTATTACTTATTGTTATGGATTTATTGGATTTATAAAGGAATTCTGTCGTATAGTTGTGACCACTGATAATCAAACACATACATTTAAGTTTTGAAATTTCAATATTGTTGGTCATCCTAAAAGGTAGAATACCTTTAAAGAAAGAGTAAGCGCCACGTCAATGCCTAATCATTATTTCCTCCCCATTATATTTACTAGAAATTTGATCAGAATTCGTATTACCCCCCAATGAATAAGTCATTCTTAATTCATGAATCACAAGGACAATTCACAAGCGATGAGTCAATATAGAGAAACAAATATTTTCATAAGCACTAACTTGGATATAAGTCGTCCGTATTTATGATCTTGAACCGAGGAAGACAAACTCATTTGTTTTTCTACATCTCTAGTTGTGACAAACCCACTAAAATACGTCTGGTTGACCTTCCTGAAATACATGGTATAAAACACACTTAAGCATAGCAAATGCCAATCTGGAAGGTGACCGGAGTTGCCAAGAGCCACCTACCAAAAAGGCAAGTTATGCGATTAAACTCGTTTGCAATTGTGCAAACTAAAAGATGATCTTGTTGGCCAGTCAATATGCGTTAAAACTGAAATAGGTGATATTGCTTTGAGTTTAATGATCTATGCTGACATAGTTACTGAAACGGTTAAAACATACATGGTAAAATATTGATAAGGTGATATTGTTATGACAATGGTAGCCTAACTGAAACTCAAAGTGATGGTAACTGGGACAGTTATATCTTATATCGTAAACTTGGCATTATTGTTTTGTCAATGGTAGCCTAACTAAAACTGAAACTTACATAGTAAACTTGATGATATTGTTTTGTCAATGGTAGCCTAACTGAAACTGAAACTTACATGGTAAACTTGATGATATTGTTTTGACAATAATAGCGTAATTGAAACTGAAACTTACATGGTAAAATTGGTGATATTGTTAATGGTAACTGAAACTGATACTTACAAAGTAAAAGTGGTGATATTGTTAATGGTAACTGAAACTGATACTTACAAAGTAAAATTGGTGATATTGTTAATGGTAACTGAAACTAATACTTACAAAGTAAAATTGGTGATATTGTTAATGGTAACTGAAACTAATACTTACAAAGTAAAATTGGTGATATTGTTAATGGTAACTGAAACTGATACTTACAAAGTAAAAGTGGTGATATTGTTAATGGTAACTGAAACTGATACTTACAAAGTAAAAGTGGTGATATTGTTAATGGTAACTGAAACTAATATATACTTACAAAGTAAAAGTGGTGATATTGTTAATGGTAACTGAAACTAATATATACTTACAAAGTAAAATTGGTGATATTGTTAATGGTAACTGAAACTAATACTTACAAAGTAAAATTGGTGATATTGTTAATGGTAACTGAAACTGATACTTACAAAGTAAAATTGGTGATATTGTTAATGGTAACTGAAACTGATACTTACAAAGTAAAAGTGGTGATATTGTTAATGGTAACTGAAACTAATATATACTTACAAAGTAAAATTGGTGATATTGTTAATGGTAACTGAAACTAATATATACTTACAAAGTAAAATTGGTGATATTGTTAATGGTAACTGAAACTAATATATACTTACAAAGTAAAATTGGTGATATTGTTAATGGTAACTGAAACTAATATATACTTACAAAGTAAAATTGGTGATATTGTTAATGGTAACTGAAACTAATACTTACAAAGTAAAATTGGTGATATTGTTAATGGTAACTGAAACTGATACTTACATGGTAAAATTGGTGATCATGGCTCTATCGGGTATAGTAAGATTAAAAACAATGAAGTCTGTAGCTGTGGAGTTATAAAATATCTGGTTAGACACTTGGGTCATGGCAAAACGGTAGAATACCTCAGTAGTAACATGGTATGATGTTATTATTGGACCCTAAAATAAGAAGGATATTGCAAGTAAATCTACATTATGGCTTAATTTGAAAATATTATACAATTGACTATTAAAGAGACAGATTCGCCATGTTCGATGGTTGATTTGGGTTTTGAATATATAACATGTACTTAAATGAATTTCAAAATTACCCAAACTAGTACTTTCTTTTTCTATATATGTCTTTTCTATATAAGTCACAGTCTCGAGAAAAGATAAGTCGCCATTTTAACTTTCAAATGCGGATAATTCTTCACACACATGGCTTCAAAGGATCAAATTGGGAAGGTGAACTGTATACACTATGACTGATTAGTTTAGCCAAAGAAATTCCGTTTCTGAGACCTATGTACGACTGACGTTAATGTCTCTTTCAATATTTAAAACATTGTGAAAACCTTTTTGTTTTAACACTCCATATACTTTTAAAAAAGATTATAATCAAAAAAAAAAATTTCACTGAATTACAATACATTAGATGAAAATAAATAAGTAAATAGAAAAAGTGTTACCTTTGTATTTTGATTGGCGACTCCTATTGATAAGGTGCAACATAAATATAACAGAATAGAAATTAAGGAATCCATAGTAACAAAATGATACTTGTGTTATGCGTGATAAAAGATTAAGTAAATGACTAGGGGAAGGAAATGTACTGTTTTTTATTTCTATGAGATCATCATTGAACATCTGTAAGTAATAAATGTAAATACAAAAAAATGTTTATCTAATTAACTCTTACATATTCCCTGTGCCTAAAACCACGAGAGAGAAGAAATGTCACAGTTATTCCAATTAACCAAATGTTCTTCTTTGATGAATCGTTTGTTTCATTTCAGAAGTTCGGGCGAAGTGGTTAATAATTCAATTGAAGTTTGAAATGAGTGTATCTTTCAACATTTAAATCAAACATGCGTTCCAATTCCCCATTTTTTATTGTAAGCCGGTATTGTATATGTTTATTTGTTTATGTGTAAAATATATAGGTTTTTATATTTTCTACATTCTGTGCTACTTCGATAACAAGAAGCGTAAAAAAAGTCCGAAATATTGTAGACAGTTTATTGAAGAATACAAAAAGTACATGACATAAAAACCAGTCTTCGAAAACTGTTATTTTAAATGTCACTCTTGTGACAAATATTGATTGTTAGATTTTTTGAGAAACGGGACTCAAGATCAGTATATATGGAGAGAACACTCCTTGTTTAAAATACAACAAATGCAAAATAGTTTGGACACATTTATCACATAGATCTAATTATAAACAACGTATATTTTATTCATCTCAAGAAACAGATCTGTTTATCAACACTGTACAGTTCTCCCAGCAGATGTCATCACATTATATTATGGCAGTGTTAATTTTCTAAATCATATTAGATTTTTTAAAGACTTCTAAGAAACAGCTAAAAGTCTATTGGGCATATTCCCTTTTATTCTTTAACATTGTATTTATCCCAGTGAATCAATAATTTTGGTCCGTTGTATGACCGATTATACGATAATATTATCTAAAATCGATATCACTCCATGATGGGACCACCTAGTTCAACAAGATTATTTCACTCAAAGGCAAAATTTGACATATTTGAAATTAATCTTGGGCAACAACTAAAATAACTGCCCAACAATCGCTAAGCAGATTTTTAATGATGACTGCAGACCTAAAACGTTCATATAAATGATTTTAAATTTAAATTTGCCTGGGACATCATCAATCGACATGAAGCATACTAAGTTTCATAGACAGATGGGAAGTTCGAAATTATCCGAAATCTTCACCAAGTTTCAGTCACATCGGACGAAGTCTATTTCTTGAGTACTAATATGTAATAATATTAGATGTTTTTTTTTTTATCTCCCTTGAACTACAAAGTTTGTTCTCATTAATAGCTAGTATTATAAGACATATTGTCGCAGAATATTTGGACATTGTTACACATATTGTAACATTATAAGAGACACTGTTATAGAATATTGTAAAATTATTAGACATATCGTAACATCATAAAATACATTGTAACATTTAAGACATATTATTGTAAAATTATCAGACATATTGTAACATTGTTAGAAATATTGTTACATTGTTAGACATATTCTACCATTATTAGATATACTATTGCAAAATATTGTAACATGATTAGACATATTGTAACATTTTTAGACATATTTAAACATTATTAGACATATTGTAACATATTTTAACATTATAAACATATTATAATAGAATTTTGTAACATTATCAAACATATCGTAACATCATAAAATACATTGTAACATTTAAGACATATTATTGTAAAATTATCAGACATATTGTAACATTGTTAGAAATATTGTTACATTGTTAGACATATTCTACCATTATTAGATATACTATTGCAAAATATTGTAACATGATTAGACATATTGTAACATTTTTAGACATATTTAAACATTATTAGACATATTGTAACATATTTTAACATTATAAACATATTCTAATAGAATTTTGTAACATTATTAAACATATCGTAACATCATAAAATACATTGTAACATTTAAGACATATTATTATAAAATTATCAAACATATTGTAACATTGTTAGAAATATTGTTACATTGTTAGACATATTCTACCATTATTAGATATACTATTGCAAAATATTGTAACATGATTAGACATATTGTAACATTTTTAGACATATTTAAACATTATTAGACATATTGTAACATATTTTAACATTATAAACATATTATAATAGAATTTTGTAACATTGTTTAACATATTGTAACATTTTTACACATATTGTAGCATTATGAGGCATATTAATACAGAAATTTGTAACATTGTAACACATAACATTATTCTACATATTGTGATATCATTAAACATATTGTAACATAATATTTTAACATTGTAATACATAACCTAACATTGTTAAACATTAATACCATTATCAGACATATTGTAACATAATATTTGAACATTGTTATAGATATCGTAACATTGTTACACATATTTATATAATGGTTATTTAATAAATTCAATCTATTTAAAATCTTTTCTTCACTACCACTTTAAATGGTTTGGGTGCCATGGTTACTGGGGACAAATCTGGTGTCATATTTATTGTAGTACCAGGAGCAGGTGAAAATTCCAGACGATGAAATAAAGAGGCTAATATAAGATGTAATTCCGGTTTAGCCAAAGATTCACCAGCGCAAACACGTCTGCCAGCACTAAACGGAAGCCAATTGTCAGGTTTTGGTGCCATTGTTCCATCATCATCTAAAAATCTCTCTGGTTTAAACTTGTCCACATCGGACCAATTATCAGGATTAGTGTGTAAAGAATAATGGTTTATCATAATCATCGTGTCTTTAGGTATATCATATTTGCCTGCAACAAGATTTTTAGATCAATTCAGGTCTATGAGATATACCAACACCTAAACAGTTTTTACAACTTTTATTTAATATGGATTGAGTAAGACTAAGCACCCACTTGATTTTGAAGTGATTTTCACTTACTCCTCATTCAACAATTACATAGAAAATAATAACATAATAAAATTATTTAATTATCATGCCCAAATCAACAATAATATAATAATGTGGACTAAATGACTCAGTAAAGGGACAGAATTCAAGATAACTAATATACGATAGGTCATTTGAGTGAGTTTGGTATCCTAAAAACATGTATATACTACTAAAGTTAAGTCGTAGTAAAACACGATCCCATATGGTCGCCTATTGAGGCTATCCAGTGTGGCTACACATTGTACCTACCCAGAGTAGTATCACAGGATGTACTATGAGGAACACCAGTAGCAGCAACTGGTCCAAGTCTCATGGATTCATGAAGAACTGCATCAGTATAAGGAAGGTTATTCCGGTCATGAGTGGTCGGAAACCTTAATTTTCCTACAAATATAAAGAATCATCACTGTCAGTAAAATGAGAAGGCGACGACTTCTTTGAAACGTGCTTTGGTATCAAACTATTCTGGGAAACTTTATGGTAAATAAAATATCTATGTAGCTTGTTCATTGACCGTACCTATTGCTTTATCAACTTCAGTTTGGATTTTATTTTGAACTCCATCTGTACCAATAATAAACATCAACGTCCAGATAAGAGTGTTTCTTGAGGTGTCATTACCCGCTGAAAGATAAGGTTGATAGGGTTATTTAAATTTAAGCAAAAACTCTTTGTCAATAGGAGAACACACAAAGAATCGGGGTCTCGATTACCGGGTGGCATAGGATCCAAGATGGACCAACATAAAAATAGAAGCTTAACAAATAGCAGCTTTTTGTGTAAGGATTCGTATCATGTTGAATGTGGCTTCGGATTCACAAATCCCAATTTAGTTTGCTCTATTTAACTGAAATATCTTGGCCGACGACAGACATTATGAACAATTTACCAACTTACCAATGAAAATATCAAAAATTATTAAATTGATATGTACTGGTTTTAAATGGGACATGTCATCTTTTCCTTCAGCAGCAATATCAAGTTGAGCTTGTAATAAACTGTCGGTAAAATCGGTGATCTTTCCTAAACAAGATTTTTCATATTTTCATATTTTCATATTAAATAAAGCATTTCAGTGAAGGGGGTGGGGACAGCAGTTTCATCGTGTGATTTTTAATTCGGTCATTATTTCAGCGCATCAATATCCAATGAAATCTTAAATCATACGATGAATCACGTGAAATCTCTCTTTTTCTAAAGTAAAATAGCTTGCTAGGTATAGTAATATACGCCCAATGGCAGCTTTGATTTTGAATAAAAATATTTGGCAGTACAGTAACAATCACCAGTATGAAATAGTCACCCTTCAGCCATACACTTCTTTGGGGCGATACTTAATAATATTACCAATCCAGCAAGAGTCGTGCTTTCTCTGTCAACGATCTAAAATTTGGATGCGTTTTCAAGAACAAGGGCAAATCTGTTTTAGAGTACAGTTGTGGACGGACGGACGGACGGACCGACCGACGAACATGGATGATGCCAATATACGCCCCTCCCTCCCCTCATTTCATGTAGGCGTATAAAAATGACGCTTGTTCTGGTAAAAATTTTCTGAAGAATGTTATAGGTCCTGTGTCCTTGTAATTGGTGCTCGTGTTGATTTCCATTTTCAGAAGATAATATCAAAAAAGAGTCACTGTTAAAATAGTACTCAATACATCAATATTGTAGATATAGGAATATTAAAACAAAACCTACAAAAACATTTTGTTGTTACTCAGAATTTCACGCTATGTGAATATTACGAAAGCCTACGAACCTGGTTGAAAATTAGCTTTGTGCTCCTCGACATAACCACCAACGTGGGATAAGAACTTCTCCATCAGATCCTCTTGAGTTCGGCATCGTTTCGTTTTGTATATTCCAGCAAACCAGGAAAATATATTCTCAAATATTAATCCGTCATTTTGCACTGCATTATTGGCTTCTAAGTTGTTCAATAAGTCAAGATACTCGGGATCACCATACGCATAACTGGAAAACGATGCAATATGAATTGTTAGCTAATCTTCACAATGTCAATTCCGTCTCAGACCTTGACATAATTAGGCACTTATCTTGTATGATTTTACACAACAATAAAGAGTTTGTTACGTATATCAACACATTAGACGAGAGTCAATAGTTATTCTCGTAGTCTTCCTGCTGTTATTGGTTGCATTCGCTAGTGTACAATCTAATCAAATCACGAACTTCCTTGATGCAATAAAAATGCCAATTGATGTCAAGGTATTAGATAAAGTCGTAATAGCTTGACATTGTGAAGATTAGTTTCAAAATGCTATACTCATTCCAATACAAAAACTGTCAGGTGAAGTAAGTCTATGTCTGTCAAATACCAACAGGAAAATCGCGACGGAAGCTTTGTGACTTAGGCAGCTATATGCCGGTAGGCGAAGATGGGTTTAATTCGAGAAAAGCAGATTGTTTGTCTTGGCAAGTTAAAGAAACACAATTCTTGGTAAGATCCCGATTTCATCGTAAAAATTATTTTGGGAGAGACCCAATCTAATTTGAATTAAATTAAATTAGTCTTACGACAGCCCCCTTGAACGTTCGTCAAATTAACCTTTTGACCTAACTGGATGACGTCTGCTTGTTATCGGGTTAGGTGTCTTATATTAAAAATAAAAGTTAACTAGAACTGTGAACAGCTCCGAGAATGGCAACGAGACATTATCCCATGGATTTCGAACCTTTTGATACTTCTAGCCTGTAAGCTTTCAACTCTGGTGCTTTTAAGCTTGCAATTAGTGCACAAGAAATTGAAACTCTAGGGCATTTCTTAAATATATATATAATGTATATAATTACACTCGTTGTTGCGATCGAGCAATAAAATACATTCGTCTACCCCAAGCATAAGAAATAATTCGGGTGGAGAGGTATATATATATTATTTATTCATTATAAACCCCAATATCGTCTTGGTTTGGCCTATCGTCTATTTTATCGGTAATTTTAAGTGGCCTTATTAATTTGTATTGGCCATAACATACTCCAAAATGAAACTTTTGCTATTTTTCAATGTTGGAGTAATTATTATGTGTGCTAGCTCTGGATAAGCGAGACCAATTTCATAATGGCCTAGATTCACCGAAGGAAATAATTTTATGACATTGAAAACAACCTACCATATTTGAACAAGAAATTAAAACTTAGTAATACCAAGTATTGTCAATAATATTGTCTATCTGTTTGGGCTCATTCTCTTAATTCCCATTTGAACTCAGAGCAACTATCTACTATCTATCTTCGTTCACGTTTGAGCTACCGGTTGGGATAAACAAAACTAGAAACAGATGCTTATTGGCATATTGCATTTCACATTTCATCTACAGTCTTTATAATGAAGGAATTCCAAATTTAGTTGAAAGAAATTGTACTTGATCCATGTTTATATATAGCCAACAAAGTAAGAACGCTACAGGAATTGATAATCCATTCTTCTTAAATAGAAAATATCTCCAATGTGCATCGTCTGCCTATTTAGGTTTATAACAGATACTTTTCTGTACTAAGTATTACACATTTGTAGTATGTGTTCTGAATAAGAATTAAGAATAATATTCGAACGGTTAAATAACTTGCGAATTTACAGCTTTATATGGAGGTATGTTTGAAGTAAGTATGTAATATTTTGCTCAAACAAAAAAATTACGTAATCTGATTGATTTGTACTCTAGCTCACTGATTTGACACCAACAGATTTGTTACATTTGTGAATTACACCGGAAACAGGATCGCCACAGGTGATTTTTAGAAACCGGAAGTTCTAAAGCCAAAACCGGAAGTGATTCAAAATGTTTGATGACGCAGTTTTATTTGTATTGGCATTCTGTCTATATCCTGTAATGTTCAGATCGATCCGATAATTAGCATCAAATTTTGATGCGTTTTTACTAAGTCAAAGGCAATAACTCAAATTTCGTTGATTGAAAAATCGTCAAATTCAATCGTGACTACGATCGCATCATTATAAATGATCATACCAAATTTTATTTAAATCGGATGCAAACTGTAGTCTCTATTGAGTTTTTCCTAAGTCAAGGGCAATAACTCAAAAAAACCTTCATCGAAAGATAACCAAATTCGAACTTGTCCAAGATCTCATCATTTTAAATATTCACACCAATTTCATTGAAATCGGATAAAAACTGTAGTCTCTATCCTGTTCACAAACAAATTTTGACCCGCTTTTCAGAAGTCAAGGGCAATACCTCAAAAACTGTTCATCGAAAGATCGTCAAATACGAACTTGTCCAAGATCTCATTAACATAAATGATCACACCAAATTTCATTAAAATCAATTGAGGACGGGCGGACCGAAGGACAGGGGCGACGACAATATACCACATTATAATATGGGCGTATAAAAACGGAACGAAAGTTTGATCTAATTCTAATTGAATGAGAGAAACCCTACCTTTTCCCAAAACACATTCCAGCTATGATGTTTAACACAACATAAAACATGTACGGTTTGGGATCAAACTCTCTAGGCTCCTTTAACATGGCCTCCAACGTTTTGGATACAGCTTCTTCAATCTTTTGATTAAAACTGTTACTGGTCACAAACAATCTGCAATCAAAAAAAACTGCCCATCAGCAACTTTCTTAGGATAGTAAAATTTTCAACTAACAGACTGAAGGCATTGTGTCCAAAATCAGAATAAAAATCCACACAAGCAAGACAATTAGTTATTTATACTGCTCCAAAGTATCATCTGGTTGGCCCGAACTTAATTGATTTTACAGCATAATCCGAAAAACACTACCTGTCTGTCCGAGGTATTTTCGGTCGCTGTCCGAAAAGATAATATTAGGGGAGGGTGGTGCTCCCATATCCTACGCCTATGTTTAAAAACAACTATACATCAAAGTTTGTTCACAAATGCCGAAATTAAAAGTGGTGGATGTCATCTTGACCCGAAATGAAGCTATACCTTATTGCTCTTGAAGCCAACTTTCTCCGTAGTTTCCATGCTGTACCATAGTTGTCAAATATTATATCTTCGCTATTATTTAACACTCTGTGAACTAGATCAGAAAGATTTGAACGTGAGATTCGAGTAAAACTTATACTCCAAAATAATTATGCGTTAATCCTTCAAGCAAAAAACAGCCCAATTTTACCCAATACAGCTATTTCTTACCACCTATTTCTTACCACCTATTTCTTAACCAATTTTTACCAGCTATTTCTGACTAGCTATTTCATTTCATGAGGTCAGAACACAGACTTTTTTTAATACCGGATTAAAATTACTTACTCGTATGACAAAAATCAAAGTTGAATGTTAAGGGTGAAAGAACTGTTAATTTGATGATCTCTTTTAATTGATTTTGTCTATTATAATGATTTATAGATTTAATGTGGTATTGCCGTTTTACCAAGAAATTCATCAATCCTTATTTAAAGGTTTAAATTTATGCGAATATTGAATGTAAGTTAACATGTACGTACTTGAATAGAACTGTCGTCTATTTGAGAAATGGGCTCCTTTCTTTAACAGAGCTTCATTTACAGAGTTAATATCATTTAAAACTACTGTTCGTTGTGGTCCTGTAAAATATGAAAATATTGAATAAATGATGACTATGTTATAGGTGACGTCGACTGCGAATTGCTTAAGTGTTCATTTGTTGATCTAGCTATTTGGTATTCGATCACTGTTGCGGCGGCAGAACTTTTGATTAAAGGGGGGCCAAAGGCAAATGCTTCCGAATCCGTATTAAACGTGTAAGCACATGCCCCCTGAAAAAAAATGAAAAAAGTCTTCAATCCTGCATTTTATGCAATTTGAAAAAAATATACCCTCCATATTTTTACATATTTACAATTGAATAATATAGATTTCCACAAAACATTATTGTAATATTGATCCAATACCTAATTATTTCCAATACTCGATTAATTCCAGTATCTAATTATTTCCAATACCAAATTATTTCCAATACCAAATTATTTCCAATACCAAATTATTTAAAATACCAAATTATTTCCAATACCAAATTATTTCCAATACTCAATTAATTCCAATATCTAATTATTTCCAATACCAAATTATTTCCAATACCAAATTATTTCCTATACCAAATTATTTCCAATATATTATCATTTCTTATAATCTCTTAATATGTAATAATTTCCCAATAACAGATTAATCCTTTTACCCTACAACTCTGAATTATCTAAGCGTTGGCTTTATCATATCATTTTGTTTGGTCTCTTCCATTCATTATTCAACGCCCAACAATATGTCGCATTTTGAGACTAATATAAGAATATATATGATGGATCATATCATTTTCCAAACCAGTGTTAGTAAACCCTTTTGTATTGTACTGATATCTTCTTTAAACACACCCCTTTTATTGTTAGTCAAATAGGTCAACGTTTAACTGATTGTCAAGAAGGTATATAGGCCTAACATATATATTCTTACCGAGATAAACTGTAAAAACCGGACCATATGTTTTAGTAAGTTCTCGAAATGCAATACCTATATTCTTAGTAGACCAGACTGGAATATAAATATCAATTCTGATATAGAAAACTATCATTGCACCAAGCACAAATCTCATTTTAGTTACACGATATTTCGTATGATGTATTTTGGTGAAATACTATAGTTAATGAAATATCGATAAGTAATAATAATTGAATGCAATCGTATACAGTGGCACATACATCTGTTAGCATTACTTATAAACATTACAGAAACAAATCAGAAAATGAAAATTATTTTTATTAATAAGAACCATATGAGTTCTACCACGTACCACGGCGAATAGCTACAAACACTTACAAATTGGGCTTCCAACAATTGGCAAAGCAAATGGTCCTGGTGGCAACTTGTAACGTTTTCTGAATATCAAATAGGCTAATAATCCAGTGGCTGTACCAATTAGCAGTGCTTGTGATAGTGGTGACTCTGGTAATAATTTGTGGACGTCTTCTGGAACATATTTGTTGATCAGGTCGACGATATAACGAACTGAATTCTCAATTACCATCGTGATACAATTACCACACTTTTACTAAAAATCAAAACATTATAATTGATATAAAAAAGTACAATATCTTTTCTTTTGGTTGTTTGCCAATGTTAAATATCAGTCTAAATTCTTAAAATTGAGTCTTATTTTGGCTACATATTATATTTTACTTTTACAATATACAGTTAGATATAGCTTAGTGCATAGTTCATAACTTTCATTAACTTAGATGGAAATAATATGCCTATGCTACGTTGTTCAAAATAGCTTTCTTTTGATATCCAACTTTTAGCTTTTTTCAAATATCGTTACGAATTCCGGTAAAATTACAGTAAAATTGTTGCTTACCTGAAGGTGAAAAGAAATATGTTGTTGATCGGCTTCTAGACAATAATAACACTGACGAAATATGAGCCGAAATTTACTTACAATACAATATACAAGGTTACAAGTTGAAAAACTAGGACGAATAACACAACTGTATTAAACACCAACAAGATTCAATCAAGATTGGGTTTTATTAAGACGTATTGAGACGAGTCTAAAGTAAAGTCTCGAGTAAAGCAATGACCAAGGCCACAGAATATTGATTAAGTGAAAATAAGTAGTAACTTCTAATTATTGATGAAAAAGACTCACACACTCTGCCACTTAATATACTGTAGCCTATATATTGGCACTATTCTGGAATTTTTTCTGAAACATATTTCCTAAAATCTTAGAAATCGATTAATCTGTTGTATAACATGATACATTGATTAGCAGCAATGGTGGATGTGCTTTCTCTTCTATGCACTTCACCCCTCATTTCATTATAAAACACTCAATTATGATTGACATACTTAGTTCATCATAGCTGCTTCTAATGTTTCGGCAATATGTTGTTTGGATTTCGGGTTTCGTTTAGCGGTTCAGATCGTTAGTACTTGGTTGATTTATTATTGAAATTAAGAACTATTTACTCTTAAAATAAGGAGGCATACTGCAATAGTTCAAGAATACTCTGGGCAAAATCGCCAAGATTGTAATTTCTTTTATAAGCTACAACCAAAATTTTCGCATATACATGAGGGAAAGCATTGACAGTTCAGAATAATAGCGTTTGATTATGATTATTATGTAGTCTTTAGTAGCTGTGGAATCAAATTTCATTTCAATGGGAACTATCTGATTACCATGTTGAATGTTGAGTCCATTTGGCAACTCGGTCTGTAGTTGATCGATCCAGTAACTTTCGCGTTGTAGTCGTCTAAGCTTAGGTTTGATATTTGTTGACGAAGAAACTGTTTCTAATGACATAATGAAGGTCACCAATATAATGATCGGTATTGTTGAAATGATTTATAAGTGGTCTATTCTTGGCATGAGCAATATCGTGGTTTGAAAATTGTAGTAAATATGAGTTACCATAAAAATTGGCAAATCCATATTAGATTTCGGGGAGGGAGGGTTTGATTCTCCCAAATGTACAGGCCTAGGGTGGAGCAGACACTTTAATTAGAAATTAGGATTAAGGGTCTTGAAATTGGGTTTTCTTCTGTTCTTATTCTGATCTGAAATTAGAAAAAATAACTCGCCCGATGGGCGAGAAGTATAGTATCTGTTATGTGCTGATTGTTTTTAGTTTACTATGAACAATATTATCATTTAAGTTCTTATTTTTTGAATATGCAACTATCATTTTCTGCTTATAGTCATGGGGGAATTTCTCTTGAAGGCTCTTATAGTGGGCATGAACTATCTTGCTTGCTCGATTGCTGGTTGTATTAAACGGGACAACAAAGGGTGCTATGCCTACATTATGATGAATATTTAGTCCTATAGGTCTTGCTGTATTCAATGTCTCAATCCAATGGGCCTCCCTAGATTGACGGAATTTGGTAGTTTCATCTTCGGGCAAGTCAATTTCTATACGCTCAATTGGGATTAGGGTGAGATCGTCTATTGAATGGTCGTCGAGGTTGAAATGATTAGAAACAGGCTTGTCTTTCTTTAATTTGATGTCTGACCTATGAGCATTAAAGCGAGTTCGTAAATTATTCTTAGTTTCTCCTACATATTGTTTGGGGCATTTCTTGCATGAAATTAAATATATTACATTCGAATGTTCACATGTTAGATGTTCCTGGATCGGGTACCTTTTATTCGTAGAGTTGCTTACAAAATAATGAGTTTATGATATAAAGGGACATGTTTTGCATCTACTGGACAAACATGGAGCACTTCTTAAACCTGGAGGTACTTCGGCATAAAGTCTGTTTTTAGCTGCTATCTGTGCTAAGGTGGAATTTTTTATGTTTTAAAAATCGTTTAGAGTACCCACGCTCTTTCATTTTTGAGAAAACAATCGTACAGGCTTGGTTGAAATCAGAAGATCTCGTACAAATTCGATGAAATCGTAAAACCTGTGACTTAATTATACCAGAAAAGGTATGTTTTGGGTGAAAGGAGCTCTTGTGCAAGAGTTGATGAGTATCAGTTTCTTTGAAATACACTTTAAATTTCCAGTTTATTTGTTTCTGCTACGGAATCTCCCTTAAAGACTGTGGTATCGAGAAAGTCTATGCTTTTGTCACTCACGTTTGCGGTTAGTTTGATAGAAGGATGATGGTTGTTGAGAATTTCAAAGAATTCCCAAAACTGTTCGATAGAATAAGTCCAAACCATAAAAATGTCATCCAAAAAGCGTCCGTAAAAAAGTGGGTCAAATGGACAGAGGGGCAACACCTCACGTTCCCACTCTGCCATGAAAAGGTTTGCGTACGAAGGGGCGAATCGTTTGCCCATTGCTGTCCCTGAAGTTTGTAAATATGTTTTACCATTAAATGTGAAATCGTTTCGACTAAGACAAATCTCTAAAAGCTGTAGAATTGCATCGTCGGGTCTGTTTGGATCTGGGTTTCTATTAAAAGCTTTACGAACTGCCGTTAAACCAGTAGTGTTATCGATATTGGTATACATAGAAAAAACGTCGATAGAAATTAAAATGGCATTAGAGGGAACTCTAATGTTTAGAATTATTCAGTTGATTCTCTGCTTCTGAAACGTAATCCTGCCTATTCAGAATGACACAACATGAACCTTTGTCACTCTTTTTAATAACAATGCTATCGTCTTTCTTAAGTAAGTTTAACGCTTCACGTTCCACTCGTGTGAGATTAGGCTTTTCGTGTGTTATGGAAAGGTTCACTGTTTGGCTATTCATACTCGCAAATGCTTTCAATATTTCAGGATGGATGGCGGCCTGAGGGGGTGTCCACGTGGATTTAGGAATAAACATTGTTCTAGCACCACGTGGGGGGTGGTTTCGAAAAAAATATGTGCAGCTAAGATTTCGTTGAAATCGTTCAATGGATGGTCGGAGATAATTCAAGTTAGCTATCTTTGGTGTGGGAATAAACTTAAGTCCACGGTCTAAGATTGAATGCTGAAGGGGTGTGAGAATTTTGCGGCTCAAGTTAACTACAGTTTGGCCTAGCGGTGGCATCTCAGTATTTTTATCCCCGGTAATTAGTTTAAAGACTTACTCGATGCTTGAAGCTGGTGTATCCAAAACAAATAGATGCTGTTTGCTGTTTCTGGAGACCAATGAAGATTATCAACTGTTTCGAATTCTTCTTCGTAGGGTGGTAAGATTGTTGCGCTGTTGATACTGGACTCCATCATCATGTTGTTGAGGGTGCTGAGGTTCTGTTGTGCTTTCTTCGAGATTTTATTTGAAATGGGTATACATGTGAAGAGGATCTTGGAGTTTGGGAATGTTTTGTTGGCTGTGGCGAATAATTTCTGTATTTAATTACTGTTGTTATAAGTGCATGCTGCTCACAATGGGAGAGGGTATATGCAATAAATCGCATCTTATCTATCTGCAATGAGGGAAATTTTCTAGAACGTTCGAACCACCTCGGGTTGGGGTAGTGGGCTTGACTGTAAACTCAGTGTTCTGGGCTATTGTCCTGTGAATAGGGTGAATTGGTCATTGTCAAAATGTTTTTGAACATATAAATCATCGGTCAAAAAGTACAGTAACAGTGTATGCCAACTCTGAATGAAATTCCCAACTGTATTGACTTACGTCCCTTGACCTGTCATTGCAATAACCGCTTAGATTATAATATGACATATACCCATAAAGTTATAAATAGAATATACATCTATGCATATACCAGATCTGATGTCTGATATGTTGTAAGGAAACAGAAGAAGCGAATACCACACATATCATCATCGAAAATTCAAAACTAAAAGGGGGAGTGGAACAACACCAGGCCATAGCCCCTTGAAGTTCTGCCATTATTAATGAACTATGGGCAAAGTGGACGAAATAGTGTCAATTTAAATACGTTGACACTATTTTCTCCACATATCTTATAGTAGTATTGAAAGAACTTCAAGGGCATGTGGCCAGGCCAGCTTATGTAGAAACGCCACTGAGCGACTTCCCGGCATTGTAGCCTACACCTTGTCTGAATTTTCAACCTTTCAACTTGTGCATACCAGGGTATTGTACATCTTGTGATATCAACATACAGGAAGGAATTTCACTCCTCTACGATCTTATATTGGCATTAATGTGGTGCTACCATAGATCCAATATTATTGTCATACACGATTGTCATGGCTGAAGCCATGTTCATATTAATATTTTTTAAGTACAAAATATTTATGAACAAACCCAATAAGCTCATACCACATAAATATGAACATGAACTGCTTGTTCATTCGAACAAAATTGTCAATGGTTTCCATCCTTGGGTACCACAGTAACCGCTTTAATGTGCACTGGAGAGTCCTCGCTGACAACATCGAGATAGCACTATAGTAGTTTTTACTATTTAACAATATGTACACTAGATTTTGACATCTGAATATTTATGGGTTTTTTTTTTTAAGTTGCTCTCATTTTTATACAATAACGTTAAGGGCTTCTGTGGAATTTTCTCACTATGTTTAAAAAGCGTGTGCTAGAGGGGAAAGTCCAAGCCATTATGTACAAACTAAAAAGCTGATAATAACATGCACCGCCTCCCCTCATGGTGTTTCCAGCGCTGGACTTGAAGAATGGACTCGGCCAAGATAGCATCCTCTTGCAGTCGGTTGCATATCTTTATGGTCTTTAAGAAAAGATTATTATTCGTAGGTTGCGGTGCTGCAGAAAGGGACCCTGAACCTGTGTTGGTGTCTCTTCGTGGCTGCTCCTGTTTGGCTGAATCGGGGAGGCAGTTCTATGGTAACTATGGGGTGGTCAGCTCGGTACATCAGTGTAAACTTGGATCTTATTTTGTGTTAGCGTGCTCTCAGACTCGAGCTGTTCTAGCAACGATGTTACACGACTAGTGATATTGTAGTTGTTGCTACCTTTAGTTCACTTCGACGGCGGTTCTTGATTGTCTCCCCTCTCACGTTTTATAGAGTGGATAATATTGTAGCAGGCTTTTCTAACAAGGGTATCTGATTTCCTAAGGGTTAGGAACTGAGACTCTCGTACGGTGCTCGCTAATGGACCAACCACAGAATGGAAGGAGATAGGAACATGAGGGACATCTGGGAGGGACCATGTTTCTAAATGTGATGCAGTGGAAAAGCCACTTGTGCGGGGCATCATTATTTCGAAAAAATAATATTTTAACCACGAAAAACTGCAATTGATTCTCGTTTCATTAATCAAATTATGTTCTCAAAGCACAGCTTGGAATTACAGATTGATTGGTTTAAATACCAAAAGACAAGCTCTGTTTTGTAGCTTGGGCAAGATACAGAATATCAGAAACACTTCACGATTTCAAGGGTCTTTTTATATATGTAATATCGGCAGCTGATGCGTCACACATCAGTGCGGTCCGGTCAACCGTAAGCTGGCAGACTTTACATTTATACAAGGTAATCTAATACAAAAGCCATTCAATATAAAGGGATATAAATAATTTATTTCATTTACAATTATGTTTATAACACTAATTCAACATACAAAATAATCATACAAAATACCAAAAAAAAAACAAATCATGGCAACAATTCATACACAATAATGCTAGATTTCCGCTGACTGGAGGAATTAGAAGAATGTCAACATTATGACTGATGCAAATTGAAAGTCAACAGTAAAAATATCATTGGATTGTTAATTTGTAAATGCTATTTGTCGAAATACTTGTCATAAATACAACTATCTAACAGATTGTTTTTATATTGTGAGGTAGTGTTGTAGACTAGAATACAAAAATATAGATCTCTTCAGGTATACTCAATTTGCATGGATTATTTTAGTTGCAACTTGCAGAAATTAACAGGAACATTGGTTCCAAAATCAAGTTTGATTTTTTAAGTAAAAAACTAATGCACCAAATGAATTGGAATAAAAGTTTTTGGCCATAATCTGCGTAGAATCAAACAATTTAACAGATAAAGTTGAACACAAAATGAGCACCATAATGATTAGAGTTATTTCCCCTTTGCTAGGTTTTTGTAACTGTCAATCTGTTCATCATATCTTTAGCCATTTCTTCAAATGCCTGAAAAAAAAAGTTCTTATAAGTTATACTACATTAAGTATCAAGTTTGGAAGTACTCAAATTTCAAAAAGTATGAGTCAAGCTGAAAGTATTTGAATGAAAGTGTTTTTTCTACTTGCATTGCATTTGATATAATACTCTTGTGAGTTGTTGCTCTTTGAAAATCCAATAAAGTTTGCATATTGGGTTACCACAGGATAAAAATCTAAAATGTGACCACATCCAAGATCCATACAAAGCTTACTTACCTCAATTTCTGCTAGCACTGCTGGATCTACCTCCTTTCGAGGAGAGCTCTTGAAATTTCCATTAGTAACATTTGGCGATATGCGCCCTTCATCAACTTGTTCTAATGCTTTCATTTTCGCAAAAGCGATATCAAATGTCATTGGGTTCTCTCCCCTTGGTGACCTTGGTGAATGTTCACTACTTGATTGATGTGATAAACTAAAACTAGAGTCACTACTTAAACTCCACTCACTAGGTACCCCTAAACGATCACTACTAGAACTCCTTTCATGAGGCTTGGTCAAGTCCACAAAGTCTGTTTCTGAATGAAAAGAACCATGACTTTCATCACTGTCTAATGAAGAGTTACTCTGATTATTCCGAGATTTTCGACGCTTTGTCCACGAAGCTTTAATGAATGTTTTGTGTGCTAGTTTTTGCATACTAGATTTTAAACTATTACTTCTATGTACTAAGTCTTTTTCTGGTTCTGGTAAGAGATCCATACTTTTAGAATTATTATAAGAATTGGCAAGCTTGGAACGAGTGTTTGAGTCTCCAGTTCGGTCAGCAAGATCCTTGTTAAGTTTGTCCATTGTCACTGATAGTGCTTTAATTTGGTCCACCAGGAAAGGATTGAGTTCTATTTTAGGTACAGATTTCTTTTTGCCAAATTTAAACAATCCTGCAGGTTTTTTGGCAGCACTGTTGGCATGAAGCTGTTTATTGAGTGTGTCCATCTGAAAACATAAAGACACAAGACGTTTAGTAGGGTAACAATGTATACAAACTTTCATAAAAACTTTCATAAAAACTGATCATTAATTTTTTAAAGATGGGTTTCCTTGTTTTTTAATGTCAAATTAAGCAAACTATTTTGTTAATTGGTGTTTCTAATGAATTATCATATTGTATTCTTAATCATATCATTATGTTCTTATTGCAAATAATTAAGAGTTTTAACCAATCATAAATGAAAATAAGGGAACCCCATCTTTAAAGCAGTACCAGTGTCCTCACCAATATGACAAACTAAAATCCTCAATTTGCTCATAAATATAACATGCTTACGATTTCATTAAGAAATTAGTTTAAACAGACCTTATTTGATCTTCAATTTCAGACAAAGTCCTTACCTTAATTTGAGTGGACATTCTTCTTTGATGAAGTCTTGTCATCTCTACAATTCTATCTTCCCCATCATGGGTAGGTTGAAGATCAAATGAACTAGCTGACAGTTTCTGAAAAATTAGAGAAGGAATTGGTGAATATTTGTGATGATTAAAATTATGCTTGCTCAGATTCAAACACATGAAAGGACCTACTGGAACATCACAGTCTCTGGCTTCTTGATTTAACAACTTTTGTTTGCGTCACATTGTGCCAGTGTTGGAGACATTTAATTGGATGGCAGTGTTATGAATCAAAATAAGGTTATATAGAGATATAGTTGGACCCTAACTAAAGTGACTATATTAAAAATAATAGCTAATAAAAATACAGAAAGTTTGGTCTGATTTGAATTAAGACTGGTTACAACATTTATGTCAACTTAGGTTATCTTTCCAGAATTCCTCAATGCCAGGGAAGCTATGGATGTTTGGTTGATTACAATTTACATAAATCAGTTTTACCTTTTGTCGTCTGGCTCTCTCTAACTCTATGGTATGTTTCTGTTGTAAAACTTCAGCTAATAATTTCTGTTTATAATATTCTACTTTGTTAGCACTATTATTATTATTCCCTATAATATAATTAATAGTACTGTAATTTAATATATCATTTAATATTTTTATGAGTTCCTTAGCTTAACTATCCCTATTCTTATAACCTAGAATAAGTTATCTTCAATCCTGATTCCAGTCAACCCTGCTGCAAATGAGTATGGATAATCTGGTAAAAAGTGCCAATACATTTAGCTTAGGACCATCTGGTAGAAAGGATCCTTTGTGAACCTCAGTTGTTATCCTTGTAAAAGATACTTGTTTCATTCCTTTGTGTTCACTTAAACAATTTGGAAGTATTTTTTCCCACAATGTTTTGATTAATTAATATTTACTAGATTATCTGGGTTGAACTGGGTTGATTTGCATGAATTTCTATATCAAAATTTCAATCTGACTACTGTCCTCTTAGTATCATATGGTGCCTTAGTTTTTCTTCAAGCTTAAACAGCAGGGTACTGTCACCTGACATAATTTAAAGAAATAACTAATATAACTCACCATGAATATTATAATTATCTAAAGGACAAGCTTGACTACTTTCTGGTTGTAAATAATCTATCCATGTTGATAATTCTTCTCTTGTTTCCGTTGCTAAGTGAAGAGGTAAAAATTCCTGAAAAGTAAATAATTTGGAAAGAATGAAATTAAAGTAACTGTATCTATACATACTACAATACATGTGGAATTAGTTGGAAGAGGCCCCAACAGAATTGAGGCTTACACGGAAAGAGTTGTTGGTGAGCCTCATTGCCAAATGTGTTCAATACATTTTTGTCTAGGGGATGGAGCTTATTGAATTTACAACAACCAGCAAAATGAAAAGAGAAGTGAAAAGTACCAGTACCACTGATGATAAATATAATTTATTATCTTTCCAAAGCTATTTCAACTATTTGATGTTTTTCCAGCTCAAAATTTAAATTGAAGTTCTACTTGATGCACTTAAAAGTAACTAATTGCCAACTACGAATTATGACATCATTAAAGAAGTTAATTATAATCTCCCACCTACACTTAATTAATCAATTAACCTTATTTTTTAAGAATATGAGTTTACGCAATACAGGTGAATAAGTTAAGAAATAATTAAATAATATGAATATTTACCTCATGCGAAAGTAAAATGACGTATGGTTTGCCACGAAATCGGTCAACAAGAGCAGTAATATGGTAGTTATTTATATCTAAGATATCTACTGTGACTGTGTCGTCTGGTGTTAGGTAACAATATAAACAATTAGAATGTAGTATAAACCAATATCTGCAATAAAAAAACAATTTATAAATATAATTTCAAAAAATTAGAAATCTTTTTGAACAATTTTTTGTGATAGTCGGAATAAGGGACATTTCAAAACATACAAGATTTTCTATTTTGTTTTGCAGAATAGTTTTTGAAGCCTGTTTTGAATTGTACCACTATGTGTAGGACTGGATATCGATTACCAAATTGAGATCGATTATCGACAGCATGTTTACCTATCAATAATTGATTAATAATTGAAATATTTTCAGTGAGAAACCTACTAAATACTGTATAAAAACCATGTACAAATTGATATCAAGGTTAACCTCCTTGATAAAGAAAATATGGTACCAAGAATGGCAATACCTAACAAATTTGCTAATAATTGAGATTTGGGAGATGCTTACCTAATCCACTGTCCATTGTAATTCCTTCTCTCTAGATAACCTTCTAATGTAGAATCAGTGATATCCTTAGCAGCCACAGTTTTTACACACATAGGTTTATGTATTTTGATACCAGTATGTGACCCAGTAGACTCACTTTCAGAGTCACTGGACATCCTTGAAAGGTTCTGGGCACTGAATGATTTAGTTCTTCTGATATCTGCTGCTGAACTCTGAAGTGATAAGATATATTGACTTAAAGATAAGATATTATTGTGGACACTGTAGGGTGGCTAGTTCCCTTTAGATTGAGTTTGTTGATTACACATAGCTGATTCATATAAAAACATCCTGTAATAAAGGAATCAATCTTTATACTTGATTATTTTCATTTAAAGGGACTGTGAAGAGGTTTTCTAAAAAATTTTATGTGAAGCTGGGACACTGCACCATTCCACTAAAACTAAGTGTTTCATGACACAACTAATCTGAAAATATGCTCCAGCACTTAGTTTACTTAAATTTGGAAAACCTCTTTACAATCCCTTTAATAGTAAGGCTAGAAAACAAGATAGTTGCTGAATTTCATAAGTGGTCTGAATAGATGCCGATACAAATCTCAAAACTTAACAAATACAAAAACCTCAAAGGAACAGGAAGTCTGCAAGCTAAATAAATAAGCTTTTATATCTTATAATTTATCCTGAACCTGAGTTTGTTTAACTTCATTAGTATACAATAATTTAATTAATTACAGGAATTTAATGCAAACAAACTGACATGTTTTATTAGTTTATGCTTTCAAAATAAAGTTTGGGCAACCAAGAAAATGCCACATATGATTTACCAACAATTTGGTCCGTTTTGATATATCAATCTGAGGGTCACCTGCTCCAGAACAACTCTATTTGCAGCAATATCTATTATACCTAAAGAGATAGTAACCAGCAAAATCAAAGTGGGATAATATTGAGAAAATAACCAATTTCATGCGATTTTCTATGGATGTTGAATCCAAAAGACAATGATACTACAAAAATCTTACCCTATTGAAAAAAAACACCCTTAAAACAATGATCTTTCAAATTAAGTCCTCCTTAATCCAAATTTGAAAAATTATCTCAATCCTCCTTGATAGAAGAGAATTTTGTTTATGAAATGATAAAAATGTGTTTAATCTATTTCAGAAGGGATTAAGATATGACCCTATCACCCCCTACCTATTATTCCAGATAAGGTGAGGACAGTACATGTCAATAAAGTCTGCACCCTTCTTTCTTGTTTTCATATTTACATCCCAAGGTCATGCTACTTACAAACTAAGCGTTTCATCTCATGAATGCTAAATGCATAAAAGGGACACGGCTCTCTTCATTAATGCAGATTGTAAGTTGAAAGGAAACATTCTATCTTTAATGAAAGAATATTGAGTATAAGACTACAGAAGGACTTTGACCATGCTAAGTTTTAAATATAATTCATTTGATTTGAGGAAAAGTCTCCAAGCCTAATGATAGATAGACCTGTAAGCAAGTCATTGTGATTACTGTGACTCAAACTCCAACTCAAACATAGGGTTTAGAATAATGAGATGAAATATTTCAAACTTTAGGCTAAAATAAAGGTATGGAAAACATTGTGTTTGTGACCACTTGATGTAATTTGCAGGTGTAGCATGTGTTCTAAAGCTCAACTATTGAATATTGATTAACACCTGGTGCAGGTTTCAATTTACATGAACAAATTTGACTAGCAATTTATCACATTCAATTTCAATTTCGGCTATGTTATATTTTAATTCGCTTTTTATAGAAATTCGGTAACAATTCAAAATGTTCCAGTTGTAGACTTTTGATCGATCTTTTCAATTTAAGTTAATAGAAACTGCCTTGAGTTGCCTCAATTTCTAGAATTGATTTTCATTTTCATTTTAATTATATCAATATTTGTGAACAATACTTTAAGCTTATGCTGGTGCTTGCTGCTGAACTGATATAAACTCAAAACTGATTAGAAATTAGAAATTTGATGCCAATAATGAAAATTCAAACATTTTATAGCATCAAATCAATGCTAGAGATATGGTAACCCTGACTCCATAAAAAACTGTTTCAGAAAATTGTGCCTTAATATCAGTGATTCAAGATCACTATTTAAATACAAAGTATCTTAATAAGCAGGAATTATCAGTATAATCCACATTAAAATCTGATGATTCCTTTGAAGATGACCATGAACCAATATTTAAACTTCAACTTTTGACTTTTAACCTTAAAATCAACTAGAATGATATAATCTTTAATCTTATCTGTATTTGACTGATTTCCTTACTAAGATACACTTGTATGCCCTTTCTTCAACTTCAAAATAATAAACAACAAAAGGATTTCAGATAATTTGAGGAAACATTTTATTTGATAGTTTTTACTTCCTACTTTTGAGTTTTTACAACCTATTTTGGATTATTTATTTTCAGGAAAAACACACAATAGTTATAAAAATCTAGCTGAAAATTGTGTTTTAATTAAATTAATAAAATAAAATTAAAATTTTTTCATCAAGCAAACTCTTTGATAAAGCTGACTTTCCTTCTTTTACTATGTTCAATTATATTAATGGAAACGCTGGAATACAAAAAAATTGAAAATAATAATTTTCTCAAATTCTAACATGTTATTTATAAAAACTTACCACCAAACAACATACTGTTCCTCCCATATTGCCTTACAATGTCATTTATCAGATAAGTAAAGAATTTTTTACACATTCCATTTTCGGACAAAATCTGTTATTGTTTTCAAAATCATGATGACTTAAACTGAATTGTGCCAAGAATAACAAACCACATTTTAAACAATAATATTACTGAATTTAAAACAATACAGTATCTATGTCACCTAATGTAGGTCTACTAATCAAAAACCCAACTTAAATTGGGCATTAGTTAGTAGTCTCTTGTTGTCTGTTATGTCACTTGGTGCTCTTTGGATTACCTTTATGGTGCCAAAACTTTGTCAACAATTTTTACAAATCCCTGCAAACTAAATATATATACTTGGAATACTCAGTGAATTCTTAAAATCATAGGTTAAGCTGTCTCAAAATATTAAAATACCTGAAACCCAGTTCAATAATTATTGACATTCAAGAAGTGAGATTGAAATAAAAACTATTGCTTTGAAGTAACACTCTACTCAAAAACTATCTTACCTTAGCCATTTTATATTCCTGGAACTGTCCAAGAACCTTGATGGAAAATTGCACAATCAAAATTTCAATAGACTATATTTAACTCTCCGGAATTGAAGTTCCAAGTCAACTTTTAAGAATTTAATAATATATTAAAACATACAGTGAAAACAACACAGGAAAGAGAAGAACCTTAGTGAATGCCTCTCTTGTTTTGAAGGAAATGTTTTAAGTTCACTAATAATATCTATATTAATCAATATCTGTATCTAATTATTAAAAAAAGAAGTTAAAGAAGTTATTAAGTTCAGTTTGTTTTGAAGGTAATATTTTAACCAGGTAGAATACTTGACTGAAAAACTCAGTGCCAAGTTGTTATGATTAAGACTTTACTTCAAATGAAGAAACTTAAATTTAGATCTTAGAACTTGATGTTGTATAAAAAAAAAAACTCAGCATCCAGCATAGCTACTTTGGTACTTTTTACTTTGTATACACATTCCTTTAAATACAATTATTGTATGATATAATACAGTTACTTAAGCTTATTTTTATCTGAATTTTCCAACATATACAATTATTTCCCTACAACTTGTATTATTGTTAAAGTAGCCATACCACGTAGATCTGATATAAGTAGAGGTCAAAATTAAGATATTGAAAAGATCAATAATTTTCAAATTATAGAACACTATATTGATTATGTACATATTTGCATTTGCTTCAAATAGAGGTACAAAATGGAACAATCTTTACTCTGTATAGCAGCTCTAAACTTAGTATTAACTACAAACAAATAATGAAGATTAGACTATCTAAATATAACAACAAAACAACATTATGACCTCATACATTCCATGTAAAAACAAGTTTTTCTACATTACGTCAGATAATTACAATATTAAATCTAATTGAATAAATGTCACATAATGTTAAAACTTGTAATACATGTTCTAATTTTTTATTTCTGATTCTTTACATGATTTAAGATATTCAACAGGGTCAAATGGTTTGAAAAAACAATCCTGAATTCTAGATTATGTGTAATACTACATACAGATGTCATTGGCCTCTATCTATGTTTAAAACTTCTATTTCTGTTAAACTGCAGATTTTTTATCTTTCTGAATTTCATATGGGAAACTGACAATTTTTAGCATATATACAAGATAAATTCCTAAATCTGTGAAATTTACAAAATTTTCATAAAAGCAAATCTTTGCTTTATCGTTGCAAGTCAGCAATTTATTATATTTGTTAGACATATTTAAAAAGGTTTTTATGTTTGTGATGCCTTACAAAGCTGTTAGAAAACTAGTGTAATATAATAATATAATATAGAAAACTAGTGTAATATAATAATATAATATAGAAAACTAGTGTAATATAATAATATAATATAGAAAACTAGTGTATGGATTTGAGTAAAATAGACCATGAATTGAAGAGAAATATGTCAAAAGGTCCTTAGTACTTTTTACAAGATAAAAAAATTACTCTCCATTTTTAATTAACCCTTTTAAAACAAATTCTGTTTGATCAAGAAGATACATAGATATAAATAGCATACTTTAGAAATATTTTCAGGTATAAGTTTACGCCCCTGAACACTGTCATGGTGAAAAGAGCACTTTATAAATGTTGTTAATAATAACAGTTAATAATGAAAACGGAATGCCTCGGAATTTAAAAGTAGTTGATTATCAAGTTTTTTTTTCTCCAAAATGTTTAGTTTTATCTCTGCTTCTAGGCTACAATTATGATATTTAAAAATAATTAAAATACTCAGCACATGCTCCAACTTTTAATGCCAGTAAGAGGTGATTTCTTCAAATCAAATTAAATGAGTTAAAAATAAGGTGAAAAAACTTACAAAGAACAGTGAATATATAGTCATCTTCTCTTTTCACTGTCAACTGATAGTAAATTTAATAGTAAACCTTTACCCACAAATATATTTTAAGAGAATGATTGACCTCTATGACCCAGACATATTTTATGAATGAATTGAAAATTAGTCATAGCGTAGGTGTAGGGGTACAATAGGTTTGAATGGGGATCATCGGACCATTTAAACCATAGTCTTGACCATTACAGTCTTTTATGATTACACAATACTACAGGGGGTCTTATTTGTTTTAACATGACCTATCTTTGGTCTGACTGCGTAGCGTCAATCTCAACTTGTATTACAAAATAAATGTATCATCTTTATATGATAAATCTACATAGGCTTAACACTGTGACAATAGATAACAAATACAACGCATAAAAAGAAGAAAAACAGAATGGTTAATTGGATTTTTAGGATGAAATGTAGTTTTACTTATGTTGGCTTTATTTCTCATTTATATGTATGATGTATTCTTTTCAAGCAAGATTTTTCCCTTGAAAATATTTAGACTTAAATAATTTCATCTGCAAATGAAGGAAAAAACTTTTCAGCACCCGACTTGGTTGCTAACATAAGTTTTCAAGTAGCCATTTTTGGGGAAATCATTTAAAACTTTTTTTATTCTTGGGTGTAATTACTTTTCGGCCTCCAACTTGTCATCAAAATAGCCCAAACTGTCAATAAGCTTTAAAGTGACAACAGAATTCTCAAACATGGATTAAATTTACAATAATCAACATCTTAGTGTTCACAATCCATAATAGAGGCACTGAAATGTCAAGAGGAGCTCACAGCACCAGATATTTAAGCCTTTTAATGACAAAATACTTGAAACTGGGAGGGGTTAAAACCAATTTGGCATACCCCCTCCCCTCTGTTTTGCCGTAAAAAATTAATATGGGAATCTGTGTTGAAAATTTGATGCATCCAAACCGCCTACAAGGTAACAGTTTAATTAAACATAGGATTGGATACATTTAACTAAACACCATTGATAAGAAATGACAACATACTGAAGATCTGAAAATTGACACATGTGGAGTAAGTCAAGTTATTCAATGAATCTTCAAGAATGATGAAGGCATACCAATTGACTAATCCCATCTACTTAGTTTGACACAAAAAAGACACAAAATAAGTTGACAAAGTAACTCATAGTAAGAAATTGTTAAAGAATTCAAAGGAAGGATAGTTGAAATTCTGTTGACAGTTATAAAACCTCTAATCTAAAGCATCCTTTAAGAATGCATGAAGTATTGATCCACCTTATCAGTATATTCTTTACCAATGAATGAATGAAAAAAGTAATGAATAACCCAATGAAATATACCAACAAATGAATGAATGAAATGTAAGAATGGACAAAGGAACAATTGAATGAATGAATCCAATACTAATGATAACTACATATCTGAAGATTATCTGAAGTTTTTTTTTACTGGAAACTGAGTTTTTCTTGAAAGTTCCATTCTTCAGAATTGCATGAAATATTGATTCATATGTTCTGACAAATGAATGAGTGAATGAATGAATGAATGGCCAATTAATGAATAAAAGAGTGAATGAGTGAATGAGTGAATCCAATACCTATAACTGAACATCACAAATTCAGCTGTTGATGTTTCTTACTACATACATTTTGATCTGATCTTATCTGAAATCTCATGTATCAGTCACAAATTACTGACCCAATATGTTTGTCCATATGTTGTAGGTAGTCCTTCAAATAAAGTATTCATTAGCTTAAATGACCAGTTCCTACATTTTACAGGATACTTTTTTTAAACAGAGGAAATGATAAAATATACTACTAAGAGTATGAACTGACCTGAAATGCCAAAGAGAATGGAAACCAATGTTGCTCCATTTTATTAACCATTTTGATTATTCCTTACACATAAATATGACAACCAATATGTCCATAAACTACTCACATCTGGTGTGAGGGATTGTTGATTATCTAGTCCAAATTCTAACCTAACATTACACTGTTACATACAGGACAGTAAACAACATAGTATCCTGACATAGATAACTTATAACTGACAAACAAGTCCAACCGAATCATTTAACATTAGTCAACTTTATAATTAGACAAAAGCAGAAGACACATTTCTCATCAAAAATATTTTGTGGATTATCTAATTCTTTTGAGAATATGATTTCCTCTTCAATATATTAAAAAAAAAAAACCCCAAAACACCAAATAATATAAGCAATACTGTCATTTTTTATTCTGATGAACAAGACTATGTTACAATGAAAGCTTGCCTTCAACCACTGATGATTGTTTCTTAGACAAGTGATAGATATTTCTTACATTAATGGCAACACCAAAACCATTCCATAGATTCCCAACAAAATAAAGATGATTAGATTTTTTATCTTCATCATTTCTAAGACAAATGATAAGTATTTAGATATGATGCCAGAGGACACAATTCAATTCATAAATCAATAGGGTTGAAAAATATGATATGTTCTTGAGATTTTCATATGGTTGAAATCACAGTAGGCTATATTCATACTGCAAACAATAATTATATCAGGAACATGACCATGAAAATGTTATTGAAATTTATCATTCTACAAAATCAAGTAAAGTAAATGAAAACTACTTGAAAAAATTGTTCTTACCAAATTAGTCAACCAATATATAAAATGTCCTATCAATTCAAAATTTACACTAAATAACTAACGAAATATAATATTCTACATATGGTATCTAAAGGTCTATTTAAATGTGGAGTGCATTTCAAATGAACAATAGACATTTTTTGCAAAAATTTATAAAAATGGGTAAGAAACAACTAACAAACAAGTCCAACCGGATAGAACAGGTAGGTAATCAAGTGCACTTTTAGTACCAAATAATACTAACTATTAAGAATGTTCTTGTATGAACCATAAATATAGTTTTAAAAAATACACCATTTAGTTAATGTCTAAAACATACTTCAGATGAAAAGAATTTCAAAAACATAAATTGATATCTTAAAATATACCTCAAATATATCCCAAATATCATCAAATAAATCTTAAAAGCTTTCAATTTAAATAAATTATAAATTCATGGATTTTGAATAACAATATGACTGATATTATTTAAAAAAACCAAATTTACCTGTTTTCATAT